TGCCTCTGCCTGCTGAGAACTGGGATTAAAGGCATGCACCACCACCACCACCCTGGCTAACATTTTGTTTAATTGAGAAATACGGCTTTTAATTGAGGAATTTAATCCATTTAACAATGAAGTTGTTACTGATGGCAGAGACCAGTGCCTGTCACAGCCATGGCTGTTGTGTTGTTTTGTGTGTCTGCTGCTCCCTTCCTCCTCTCTTGTGAATCATTGTGGTTTGGGATTTGCTGTAGTGTAAAGCTTTGATTTCTTGCTCTTTCTCATCTGTGTATCCACTCTGCCAGTGAGTTTGAAACTTTTGCATGTTTTCATGATAGCTGTTACCCCCGGAAAGAGTTTCCACAAATCTTTTGTAGTGTTGATGAACTCCTCAGGCTTTCTCTGTCTGAGGAAGGCTTTACTTCATTTCTGAAGGACAGCTTTGCTGTGTGTAGTACTCTTCACTGGCTAGTTTTTCTTTTAGGTCTCAGAATATATTATCTTATCTTCTTTAGGGCTACCAGACTTCTTTGTTTGTTTGTTTTTTGAGATAAGGTTTTTCTGTAGCTTTGGAGCCTGTCCTGGAACTAGCACTTGCAGACCAGGCTGGCCTTGAATTTACAGAGATCAGCCTGCCTCTGCCTCCCGATTGCTAGGATTAAGGGCGTACGCCACCACCGCCCAGTTTAAGACATCTAATCAAAGATCTGTTTGTTGGTTCATAAGGATTTCATGTAGGGGACCCAACCCCTTTTCCATGCTGCTTCTGAATTCTTTCTTTGCCTTTTGACTGATTAAATATAGCACTTTGGAGAAGGTGCCTTTGGTTTGAGACTAATCAGGACTCTGAGATTCATTGGTCTGGGTGTTTCCTATTTCTCTCAAAGTTTAGGATCTTCACAGATATTGTTTGCTCTGATATATTTGCTGTGGCTTTCATCTTCCTGCAGCTGAAAATCCATAATGTAAGCTTTTGCCCATTCATTGGTGTCGCACAGGTTCTGTGGAATTTCCCTCCAACAGATTTCATTCACCATCTCTGATCAGGTTAAAATAAGACCTTCCTTGAGATGTAGGTAGTCTTTCCTCTGTTTAATCTAGCCTGTTATTGTGGCACTTTATTATTTAATTTAGTCACTGAGTTTAGTCACACCGACAGATTTCTGTTTGATTCATCTTTGTGGCTGTCTCTCTGCTAAAATTCTCACAATACCTGTGAATTGTCTTCCAGATGTCTCTGAGTTTTCCTCTGGACTCTCACTGCTACACCATTCTGAATTCCACACTTTACATCTCCTTCCTTTGTCTGTCTGTTACTGTAAGAATATTAAATTTCCTTATGGGTGGTTTTTTATTTTTTATTTTTGTTTGTTTGTTTCGTATGTCCTTACACTGATATCTGAATATCTAGTGAAGCAGGTGCCTTTTCCAGCTTGGGGAGGTTTATCTTCCCCCTAAGAGGAGGAAGTTTTCCTGTGACGTGTGCTAGGGTATTGGTTAGTTTTAGCTAGTTAGTGCTGAGTCTGTGTCAAGTTGGTATTGTCATGTTGCTTATTCAGCTACACTCCTTGTAAAAGGTTTCTATACATGTGCTAGAGGACCAGACTGTGGGTGACTACAGATATGACCGACATAGTAGGATTTTCCTAGAGATGGGATCACTGCCTGGCTATGCAGCTGTAGCATATACCTGCAGATGGTGTGAGGCCAGTGACTATGTGGTGGGCTCTCTTCCATGCAATATATAGTCATGTGGGCCAAGTCCAGTCAGCTGCTAACAGGGTCACTGGGGAGGCTGCCATCTTGATTCTGGTTCTGGGACTATTTCAGACATGTGTGTAGGCATTGCAGATTAGCCACACAGAGAGCATTCTGGAGGACTGGAGTTACTATTTGTTTGGTTTAGGGGGCCATTGCAAGTTTATAATGAGGACATTTGGGGCAGGCCAATTGTATGGCAGACTCACCAAGATGGGCCCGGCAACCAATCAAAAGCTGTCAGAATGAGTTTGATTATATACTTATGGGCTGGCCAGTTATGTGCTATGCTCTCAGTCAGGGCGGGGAATTCAAATCGTCATTGGGATGGTGGCAGAGGACAAAGGTCCTGTAGGCTGAGTTCCTGTGCAGAGCAGACACCAAGGCTGCTGACCAGTTATCTGTTAGGCCAGGTAGCCACACAAAAGCTACAAAATCTTTGCCAAATTCTCTTTCATCAGTTATACCTGTCTGGGGGAAATGGAGCATTGCATATGTTGGGAAGTCAATGTAGGGGCCTTGCTGCTGGGTGCAGGCAGAATATTTGGGGTTACTGGGATGTTGTTTGTGTTAGCATGGTTGAATGACGGCAGTCTCTAGAATGGAGGTGTGCTACCAACAGTGGCCAGCCTTGGGATGGTTGCTCTCTGCCAGAGGGTTTACGAGTCTCGGCTGCTTAGATTAGGTGTGAACGACATGAGCTCTAGGGCTGTGTAACTGCGCACACTGAGCAGGGCTCCACGCTGCACACTGAGCAGGGTTCCATGCTGCGTTCAGACTGTGGTGACAGAGGAGTCTTCTGTACTGTCAACAGAAGCAGCAAGGAGACCACATGAAGCCTGCGGCTTATTTCCTACCACAGGAGTCCTGGCTCTGAAATGACTTTCAGGGTGGAAAAGATGCAAGGCCCCTTACTTTTCTTTCTACAAGACTGGGCTGTGTTTCCAAACCCTGTTGGGGAAATATCATTTTCAGGTGTGTGATTTTTGTTTCTGCTGCATTTGTTTAACTCGCTGAAGTTGTGTTCCTGTGTCTGTCTAAAACACCTGGTGGTCCTAATAAAGAGATGAACGGCCAATAATGAGGGAGGGGTTAGGAAAGGTGGGGCTGGCAGGCAGAGATTATAAATAAGAGGAGAACAAGGAGCAGAGGAAAAGAAGGCAAGGAAGTCAGCTGCCCAGCTACCCAGCAAGGGAAAGAAGTAAAGAAAGGTATACAGAAGTAAGCAAAAATAAAAGCCCAGAGACAAAAGGTAGTCGGGTTAATTTAGTTAAGAAAAACTGGCAAGTAACAAGCCAAGCTAAGGCCAGGCATTCATAACAAAGAATAAGCCTCTGTATGTGATTTACTAGGGAACTGAATGGTGGTCCCCCCACAAAAGGAGTCCAAAGAGTAAAGCGTCACACAGCAAAACCCCACAGGAATTCAACCACTTCTCTACAATTCTCTTACATACTTTCCCATTGATCTTGTCTTGTGTTGTTGGGTTCTGAGGTTCCCAGTCAACCCAACAAGGTAACAAGAGGTTACCCCAAGGTGACAAGAGGTTACCCCAAGGCAAGATTCACTGCAGGGCAGCACAAAAAAGGGGAAAGAGGAGGGGACTGATGGATCAGGGTCACAGAAACAGAACAGACTTGGGAGCTGAACTATGAACCCCCAAATGTCAGCTGAAGCAAGTATTATTTAAGCACATAAGTCACAAACATTTGCTGCCAAATTGTGGACACAATTTTCATCAATTATGATTTAGAGATTAAGGGGCTTTCTTGAATGTTCCATCGTTGTCAATCAAGGTACAGAGCAAGCTTTTCAGTCCAACCAATCAGATTCATTTGTTCCATCTGTTGATAGGAACCACCATGATATTTCTAGAGAACTAAAGATGCACAATGACTCTTTCTATGGTTTAAGAAGGAGGTGGGTCAGCTGTTGGAAGGTTCCCAGCTCCCCTAGGGCTTGGGAACCTGAACTTTGTTTCGTCCTACAGGTAAAATGGAGTCTGAAGTCAAAATGGCAGTACTTAGGCCAAGGCGCTTTTTGCGAATGACTTCCAACATCAGAGTTATTAGTCCTTCATCTTTACCTATGGCCTTCGGGAATGAATGACAGGTAACCACGCAGCTCTCTTGCTGATGTCACTAATACACTCATTTTAAACCATGGAAAATGAGACATAACTATGAACTCTAGATCTAAGTTTAGTCTCCAAGTTTATTAACCTGAAAAATCAACTATACCCAGTAATTGAGGATGAAGGCTATTTTAAGTAACTTCCTGAGAAAACTAGTTTTCTATGTCATGTTTGTTTGCATCATATGCTTAGTTACTATTCATTCAGCATCTTCTAGATGCTCGGAGCTAAAGAACTATATTCCATGCTTTCTCGCTTCCCTGCACCTAGAAATAGATTCAGTACAGTTTGTACCTTTGGATCAACGGCATTCACATAAGAATGGAAATTCATGCCTAGATAGCTACTTGCCTATTTCATGAACAATAGATGAATCAATAGCTCAACAGAGGAATAGGGTAGATATTTGGCATGACAAGGTGCCGCTAAGGAAAAGTGAGTCTGCTGATATACTCAACAGCACAGAGCAGAAGGCTAAATTTATCTTCAGTTTGCACCAGTTCACCCTGTTAGCACAAATGCTTTGTGCATTTATTTCTCCTGTTGCCTGGTTTGTGAATCAGGACCCAGACCAACAAGTTTTCCCAGAACTTCTTTACTGGCATCGTCTTCAAATGCTTGGGAAATAAGGAAAAGAGTCATAAGTTAGCACACAAGAGAGCTAACTGGGGGAATTGCTAGGGCTTGGCCAGGGATTGCAAGTCAGTGTGGTAGGAAGAGGAAATGGTGGCCTATAACCTCAGGGAATATTGCCAAAAGTCCGCTCCTCTCTCGCCCCGTCCCAGAGGAAGTAACAGCCTGCAAGCAGTACCTCACTGTGGAGAAGAGCAAACCTAAAGCAGCCTTAGCTGTCACCCTGCGCCTGGAAGCAAAGTTTTCACCAATACCATCAACTTCTACTAAAACTCTTTAAAGCATTCAAATACTCACAGAAATAAATTTTCTTGTGTCATCTGTAGCTGCAATAGTGCTGCGAGTCAGCCAATCACATCTGTCTGGACCAGTGCTCCTTCCAAAAACAAAGTGTAATGGATCACCAGAGCCAAAGCCAGAGGAACTTCCTGAATGCCGTGCTAATTAAATGCTCAGCTTTTTTTTTTTAATTATTGTTGTTTTCAGGAAGAATTGGGCTTGAAGAAGGAAAAAGTCTAAAATGATCCTGCAGTTAACTAATGCTCTGAAGGTTTTGGGTCGAACTCCGATGCTATATTCATTCTGTTATCGCTTGTAATGAAGGACAGAGGTGAGTGAAAGGTTTGGTTACCTGTAGAACCTGACTGGTGAATAGCAGTGTTAATCTGATTCAACTCTGACATTCATAAAGCAAAGCCATGGAATTTGAGGCTACCTAACTTTGGGGATTCAAGAGAATTTTTTTTTTTTCACTTCAGATCCCCAGCTCAGCTTCCAGAGGTGGATGATTGGAAAGAGCAGAAGTGACAAACGGCTCAATCAAAGATCAGGTGATAGAAATGCAGGCAGAGAATTCAAGAAAAGGTAACTGATGGAGTGTGCCTAATACAGACTCAGGGTACAGAGACTTCTGGGTAATGTACTGGCCAGATCTCTAGCATGTAATGTGATGTTGGATGGAAGCAGTGACGATTAATAAATGTGCTTTCCCAAACACACGAACATGAGGAGTAGCTAGAGCAGCCTTCGGAACAGTCGCAACACCTGTCAGAGGAGGCGACGGGAAGAGGGAAATTGAGGGAACATTTCCGACTCGTGCAGCGTCCTGGAACAGTTACAGCGGGTGGGTGGAGAGTCCTTCGGGCACGTCATCTACTGTCTGATTCCCAACCTGTGGGAGGGGCCTGCGCTATCTGCGTACCTGTGTTCCATTATCGACTGGGAAAAGCTTGAGGACCGTGGCGCCTCCCTGTGGAATTGTGTCAGATCCCAGAAGGGAGGAGCCTGGGGTTGTTGGTCAGTCTAGTTCTGCAAACACAAGGCCTGGGTGGCGAGGCTTCATGGGGTTCAGGTCAACTGGCATCACTGAGTTTCTCCTGCCCAGGGGTCTAGCTTCTAATGGTTTCCGTTGTAAGGGTTAACCTTGTCAACTCCTGGAAACAACAACAACAAAAATCTCTGGGCACATCTGTGAGGGATTATGTAGATCAGGTTAAGAGATGTTGTCATGTCAGGGCCCGTGAGTCTGGGACTGAATGAAGAGACCACAGCAAGCTGAGGGCAAACACAATCCCTCTGCCTCTTGCCTCAACACCTGGTGAACAGCCACCTCAAGTTCTTGTTGCCAGGACTTCCCGATTATTATGGTCTGTACCCTGGAACTGTGAACCAAAATAAGCTCTTCTTTATGTGCCTTTTCAGGTGTTTTTGTCACAGTAGCAAGACAAACACCTAATAAACCCACCAAGGACCGTGTTTGTTGCAGTGTTCTGTAAATAGTATTTATCAGTTAAGAAATTCTCCTTTCTGGCTTACTAAATGTTTTTCTTTTTCTTCTAAAAGTCACAATTTTTTTTGTCAGTCTTCTCCCATCTGTTAATATGATTACTAACGTGGATATGCTAATAATAATAAGATCCATATGGATCTTGTAGTAAAAGCCCCACTCTTACATTCTGGAAATATATCTAACTTGAGTATCAGGTTGCATATTTTTATTCAATGCTGTATTTGACCTGCTAATATTATGTTTGAGATTTTTCACATATAATCACAAGGGCGATTAGTCTGCAATTTTCCTTTTTTGTCAAGTGTTTTTGAATCAAAATGTTCTCCAGTCATAATATTTGGAGAATAGTCCATATTTTTTTTGTGTCTAGAAATGTGAAGGATACTTGGAAGGCCATTTTCCATTGTCTTCTTTATGGGAAAAGTTTCATTGATGTATTGAAATTCTTTGATGAACCTGAGAGTTAAAATCAATACACATGCATACATATGGATGTATACAATAATAATAATCAAAGAAAAAGAATCTAGCGTCTTGAACAGTTGTTCTCAACCTGTGGGTCATGATCCACTGGAGGGTCAGATTACCCTTTCACAGCAACCGCATATCAGATATCCTGCAGATCAGATATTTGCACCGTGATTCATAAAAGTAGCAAAATTAGAGTTATGAAGTAGCAATGAAATCATTTTATGGTTGGGGATCACCACAATATGAGGAACTGTATTAAAGGGTTACAGCATTAGGAAAGTTGAGAACCACTGATCTTGAGGGTGTGGGGACCCAGAAGGATTTCAAGGAAAGGCAGCTGGGAGGGGCAAGAGGGTGCAAGGAGAGGAGGGAAAATGATGTAATTCTATTTCAGTTATTTTATTTTTTTTAAATAAAAAAAGGAAGAAAAAAGCCTTGTTCTAGTTTTGAGAAAGAATGGAGCAATATACAGATGAAGGCCAGCATATTCTATAATTAAGAACTTTAACATTCTTGTTCAAACATTAAAATGTTAAGTAAAATGTATCTTGTCTTCAGTATAGGAGATGCTTAGGTTTCCTGTTTCTTTAGGAGTATCTTTGAGAAGAAGAAGGGTTTTTTTTAACAAATTTATTCATTTGACTGTTACATGTGTGTGTGTGTGTGTGTGTATGCGCGTGTGCCTGCATGTATGTATGTATGCATGTCTGCATGTGTGCGCGTATGCATGTGGAGGACTGAGTTTGATAACAGGTGACCTTGTCAATCACTCTCCACTTGATATATAGAGAGGCACGGTGTCTTGCTCAACTCAGAACTTGATCTTGTGCTAGTCTGGCTAGCCAGCTGGGCGGAGGGACTTCCTGCTTCTGCTTTCCATGTGCAGTGTCTACAGTGTCTCGCATGACCACCTTGCTTTAATGTGGGTTCTGCAGATCCCAGCTCCAGTCCTCAGAGTTGCACGGCAAGCATCTTACTTACTGAGCCTTTTTCTTTGCTTCCAAAAATGTCTCCTTTACAGTTTCAAGTCCTCTTGTCTTAGTAATGCACCAAGTCCAATCAGTGCTGCCCAGTTGTTCATGGCTGTGATGTTATCCTCTGGGGACATGGGCAAGCAGCCAGTGGTCACACACCCCCCCCAAAAAAACCCTAATTATCCCTCCTCCAGTAGCCATCAACTGCCATAGCTCCCTAGCTATGGAGCCTCAGGATCTCCTGTCTCCATGTTGGAATCTGTAACTGGCTTCATCTTGGGCAAATAACGACAGCTGCTGTAAGTTCCTGAGTGCGTTGTCATGTCGTGTTTTGAGAACAGCGGTCATTCTCGGCATCTAGCCCTCGCATCCTTCCCACGCTCTTCTGTGATGTTCTCTGCATGTGGGTGGGTGTGGGTGGGAGCAAGACAGACGTTCTGTCTATGACTGAGCATTCTCAGTCATGTATTCTCTCACTTTGAGCACTCAGGAGTCTCTGCCTTTACCACTACCCATCGGTTCCTAATGCTACCTTACGGATGAAGAATCTCGGTACTGAAAATAAGCCTAGGTCTGGGGTTTTTTTGTTTTGTTTTGTTTTGTTTGTTTTTTTGTTTTGCTTTGTTTTGTTTTGTTTTGAGACAGGGTTTCTCTGTAGCTTTGGAGCCTGTCCTGCAACTAGCACTTCTAGACCAGGCTGACCTCGAACTCACAGAGATCCACCTGCCTCTGCCTCCCGAGTGCTGGGATTAAAGGCATGTGCCATCACTGCCCGGGAAGCCTAGGTCTGAACTAGGCACTTGCTAATTTTGCTAAAAAAGCATCGATTCCTCACTTGGACTCACAATTCATCTTGAATCCTAGAAAAAGCAAACCTTACAGGATGGATGGTTATCTGTGATGGTGAGGGGGGATGCTAGAACGGGGAGGCAACTGACTTACAAGACTTAACCAGGTCTGCTTAACGCTTGCCCCTCTACTCGTCTACTGTTTGAGGATAAAGTTCAGGTCAGTAGTGTAAAAACTGGGCTTGGGGGTCACTGAACCCCACTATATGTTCTCTCCAGCATGACCACATCAAAGAAATCTCTCTCTACTTTTCACCATTCCCAGCAGGGGATTGGCACAGGGTCTCTTGTCTGATTCTGAATAGGATAACAGAAAAGTCTGAGTAATATATCTAAGACCACAATGCTATTAGATATCAGAAACACAGACCTTTGAAAATAGTGATAATAATGACTATTATGTCAGCAGCTGTCATTTATCCAACGTTTTCCAGTCACTTTCCTAAGTTCTTTGCATATATTAACCAACTGATTTAATCCATACAACTAACCCAGGAAGCTGAACTAAACTGACCACCATTCAGTGATAAGAAAACTGGCATAGAGGGCTTTAGTGATTTGCTCAAGTCACACAGCACAGTGACGCCATAATGTTGCTCGATTTGCTGGTAAACTTTAAAAGCACGAGAAGGAGACCTGAAGTCACAGTCATTAAGAATAAAGCTCAATGATAGGACACTTATCTATCACACACAGGGCCTTGTGTTCAGCTCCCAATACTGAAAGAAAACAAAACAAGAAGGAGTTCTAAGTATTCCCCTTCCCATTTCAGCACAAAAGATCAAGAGACAGAGGTCGTGTGTTGCCCTTGGGTGTTTGACATGTGGATCCTCCAGGGAAGCTCGGATCTTCTGTCGGTGAGAATCATAAGTGAGCCCTTAAAAGCATTGCATGGTGTAAGAAGCCTTAAGTATTCTCAGGGTGAGGAATCTTTTTTAAAAAAACAAACCACAAAACACTTGCTTATTATTGCTATCAGATCGGATCGGCAAGAGTTGGTCTCTCAAAACAGTTACCCTGGGTGATGGAAGTGTGGTCAGGAGCATTGCCCAACAGCTGCTGTTACTGCTCAGTCATTGAGTTGTGGCTTGTTCATACACCACCAGCAGCCTCAGGAGCCTTCTTATGCAAGAGGTCACAGACTACAGCTTGACCATGTGCGAGTTCCTATAGCTCTCTTAATTACTGCTAATTATCAAGATGTGAGTGCCCCCTTGCAGTTTAATAAACACATCAATGAGAGAAAACTCTGGCAGATATTGATGCAGGCATATGCTTTCTAAGGAGAACTGATTTATCTAGGAGATTATGAAATACCCCAGAACAAAGAGTACAATTGTGTAAGTCGGTCCTTCATTCAACACGCTTGCTATCTGCGAGCCCTAAATCTACATGAAACCAACCTCACAGGCAAATGTGGGCCTCACAAGCAGAAACTGCCGATGGCTCCCCAACACCCTGGCCGAGGCTGACCAGTCTGTTATCAGTGTCTCTACCTAAACTGTGCTCAAGAAACTTCAAAAACGTGTTTTCTTGGGAGTGGGAAAAATTGATCGCCAACCGAGTAGTGAAGAGCATTTTAGATCTAGGGCCTTTTCCCGTTCCAAGTCTTCTCCAACTGTCTTTCTGAGTTTAAAGGCATGTGGGCTACATCCTTGACTTGATCCTGTATTAAGAATAAAGAAGATAAGTTCGTGCAGGGGAAAAATAACAAAGGAGGGACTTTCCTACAAGATCTTTGAAAAGGGGGACATTTGCATAAGCCATATTTAACCAGAATCTTTGTTTTATGTTTTTCCTTTCTAGACTCCCTCCTATGCTCCACCCTTGCACTCATCAGAGAACAAAGGCTTCAGGATGCCTCCTAGGGACCTTCCTGGCTCATCATCCTCGTGCCTGGATAATTACATTTAATGACTTGCATCTCCTGCTTCCATTTTTTTCCACTCTTAAATCATCAGATATGCTCGTCTTCCAGATGCGGCTGTAATTTTGTCCCTCTCTTGCTCTCGTTTTCCAAAGACTGAGGTACAAGCTTCGTAAGCTTTAGCTTGAAATTTAAAGCCCCAGGGTGACATTTCTCTCTCTGCTTTTCTTTAGACAGTGATATTTGTCTGCATAGCAACAGGCCCCAGGAACATTTCTCCGTTTCCCTCTAAAAAACAAAACAAGCCAGGCAGTGGTGGCGCACACTTTTAATCCCAGCACTCGGGAGGCAGAGGCAGGCTCTGTGAGTTCGAGGCCAGTCTGGTCTACAAGAGCTAGTTCCAGGACAGGCTCCAAAGCTACAGAGAAATCCTGTCTTGAAATAACAAAACAAACAAACAAAAAAAGCAAGGCCTCCCAGGGATATCCATAGAACATGGCCTAAGACAATATATTAAGACTGGGCATAATCCCTCATATCAAGGCTGGACCAGCCAACCCAGCAAGAAGAAAAGGGTCCCAAGTGCAGGCAAAAGAGTCAGAGACATTCCCACTCCCATATTGGGGGTCCCACAAGAACATCAAACTACATAGCCCTAAGGTGTATGCAGAGGATCTTGCTCACATCCATAAAGGTCCATGTTTGTTGCTTTAGTCTCTGTGAGCCCCTATAAGCCCTGCTTAGTTGATTCTATGGGCCATGTTCTTGTGATGTCCTAGACTCCTCTGGCTCCTTTGATCCTTCCTCTCGATCTTCTGTGGGATTCCCCCCTTCTGCCTGTGGGTCTCTGCATCCGCTCCCATCGGTTTCTGCCCCTCTTATGACAACATGCACAGATCTATGAATATAGCAGGCTATCATTAGGAATCATTTCTTTGATTTTTTTTCTTGTCAGTCGTGTTTGGATATATGAGTCTCCCAGGAAAGGGGAAGCAGAATAGATTTTGTGAGTGGATTCAGTGCCAGTGGGGATGGAGTGGGAGGGATCAGGTGGGGCTGAGAGGAAAAAGGAGAGGGTACTGGAAAAGATGACCCAAATTGGGTTATTTGGAGGCAGATGTAGAAACCTAGGGCAGTGAAAACTCCCTGGAATCTCCAAGAGTGACTCTAGCGAGTCTTCTAGCAATAGGGGAGTGTAGAGCCTGGACTTGCCGTCTTCTAGAACAAGGCAAGGCTCCTGGCATTGGGGCTGGGACACCAATCCAGCCACACAACCTTCATCCTACAATCTGGGCTGTCTGAAAGCTGTGTTGGGTAATGGTGGTACAAAACTTGTGGGAGTGGCCAACGACTACTCCAACTTGAGGGCCAAACCACAAGAGGGAGCCCACGACTGACACTGGATGACCAGGAGCCAGAGGCAGGGCAGCCCAGAGACCCAGGTTAGAACCAAATAAGGCTGGCTATAACTTTTCTTTCAAAAACAAAGCAAGGTTTCAGTTTACAAAGCAGTTTCACAATAACCCTTGACACATCGCGATAACCCTATGATGTAAACAGGTAGACTTCCTTATTTTACAATCAAATCAACTAACTCTCAAGGTAATGAACTCTACAGTCTTGAAGGAGATTTATCTCATCATTGTAATAAAATTCTTAAAATCACATATTAACCTTATGTCGTGAATAGAAGACTGTACTTCTCTTTCTTTTTGGCCCCTTGCCCCTGATGTTTTAAGTGATGAAGCATCTCAGGCAGGGCTGTGAGCATGAGTCTGCTCTCTGAAGGGTGCACCCTAAGCTAGATGAGTGTGATTGACACCTGCTAGTGGGCTCACAAGATGAAAGGTCTTTTGCAATGGTGATAGAATCTGAAATGACTTTAAGAGAGAAAAATATATCCTTGTTTAAAAATATAGTCTCACAAGATGTGAAAATGTGCATAAAAGCAGCATTGGCCACGAAACAGGAAAAATTTTTCCAGGCAATTTCTTTTTCTCTTTCTTTTCCTCCCTTCCTCCCTCCTTCCCTCCCTCCCTTCCTTCTTTTCTTTCTTATTTTATTTATTTATTTAGTTAGTTAGTTCTCACCATTTATTTATTTGTTGTTTGTTTTACTCTTACTATGTAGCCCTGGATGGCCCGAAACTCACTATGTAGACCAGGTTGGCCTTGAGCTCACAGAGCTCAGTCTTTGCCTCCCAAGTGCTGAGATTGAAGGCATGCACAACCACATCCAATTCCAGTCGGTCTCTTACAATGTACTGCCTTCCCGTAGGAATTCCAGGGCTAGCTGAATACTTATCATGGCACTTGTAGACTTTTTCTAATCTATTTGAACGCATTTTACCTATTCACTGCTACAGCTCTAGTGGGCGCCGTGAACCTTAGAGAGTGGAGACTGAATGTGAGGTGAACTAAAATCTCAGACCATAGTCATCTTTATTCAGGGCATCAAGAAATTTCTCTTCTGAGGGTTAGGCAAAGTCATATGAGCAGTTTGAGAGTTCAGGCAGTACGCAGTCATGAGGGCGAGGTCACATGAGTTTAGGAAGGTCACATTTTTTTGGCTTATACAGTCTCGAGGGCAAGGCTACATTAGTTCAAGTCATATACAGTCGTCACGAGGACAACCTGTGCTTGGAAATATCATCTAAATAGTAAGAGTAAAATGATGGGTAATTTGAAGTAAGCACACTCCTATTTATACCAGGACAGGCATGAAAGCACATTCTGAGAACAAATGTACGTTATGTAGGGATGGAGGTTACAGGTCTCTTGTGTACTTGGAGTTTTCCCACAAGCTCTCAGAAATCGCCTCACATAACTTTATCCAGACTGTGCTCCAGCACAGTTAAGAGCACTGCCTGCCCTTCCTAAGGTCTTGAGTTCAATTCCCAGAAATCACATGGTGACTCACAACCATCTGTAGTGAGATCTGGTGCCCTCTTGAGGAAGAGACCTGGTCAGTCATCCTCATCAACTTAGACCATGAAACCCAATATGGACAAGCTCAACAGAACCGTCATATACAGGCTGCCCATGCATGCCTCAGCATTGCCAAGTATAAATTTCATTCATTTCATTCATTCAAGTAACGAACTAGGAACTCCAGAGATCTGGTGCAATCTCTTCCCTCAAGAGATGTACAATGTTATCTAGGGGAAAACAACATTTATTCTCATATACAAACAACAGACTAAGTAACAGCTTTAAAAAAAAATGGGCTGTATTTAAATGCATCATGCAGAGTGAAGCCGAGAAACGCAATAGCCTGTGGGTTGGGTGAGCTAAAGAGCTAGCTATAAAAGAGGTGGCAAGGGTTAAGAACAGCTGTCCTAAAACTTAAAAATAGAATTTGTGTATATGAGTAGGAGATATTAGGGCAAGGGGAAGGTGTCACTCCAGTATGAGCCCAGGAATCTTTCTACCTGATTTAACTCATCTTCATAACATCAGAGATATATTACCTACATTCCAAGATAGTGGGTCGTGTCATTATTAACAATAAGTAGTCGTCAGAACCCTAACCTCAAAGAATCTAAAGAGATGTACTAAAGAGAAGGGACACTTCAAAACTAACAGTCAGTTCAGGCTATTTTCTCTTATTTGTTCCATGGCTATGAGATGCTATGTGTGGAAGTTAGCCAGCTAAGGAAAGGACACGGGGAAGGTGGGTGTAAATGGCCACGGTGGCTTCCACTCACAGGAAGTGGGGCTACAGTGCAAATGAGACTTGTCTAACTTGAACACAACAGCCTTCTTTGGAGGTGGAAAGCAACGGTTTTTATCATCTTCTTCGTAGTCTATGGGCTGTGTGCAAGGAATCCGGTTCAGTTACATGTGTATCAAATGTTCAGTGTTTGACACTAGATCCGGTACTGAACTGAAGTAGGAAAGAGGAATTAGGAAAGAGCAAGGTCAGACTTCTTCATACCCCAGAGCAACCCTTTTCCTCTCCACAGAAAACATAATAAAATCCTGAGCTGCATAAACAAAAATTA